TCTCTCTCTCTCTCTCTCTCTCTCTCTCTCTCTCTCTCTTTTACTCTCCCCCTCACTCCCTCTGATAGCATATATGTAAGATTATGTAAATTTGTGACTTATTTATAATTATTGAAGAACTTTTTTACAGGTGTGATTAAGAAGAGGAAGACAGATAAAGACACCATTTATGTAACATGTTATAAAGAGGAAGAGAAAGGCAAAGGCAATGAAAATAAAAATAAAAAACAAGAAATGGGTGAAGATGAAGATGATAATGAAAATGTTGAACTAGAAGCGCATGGGATTGAAAATGATGGACAAGAGGCATGTGAGACTGAAGATGAAGAACATGTTGAAAGTGGAGAAGAAATGGATGAAGAGCAAAATGATGAAGAAGATGATGAAAGTGAAGAAGAACTGGGTGAAGATGAAAGTAATGAAGAACATGATGTAAGTGGAGAAGAAGAACTGGCTGAAGATGAAACTGATGAGCATGATGAAAGTGGAGAAGAAGAACTGCTTGAAGATAAAAATGATGGAGAACATGGAAGTCGAAAAATGAGTATAGATGAAGATGATGAAAATGCTGAGAGAGAGAAATGTTTAGATGTAAACATGAAAGAACATACAGACAAAGAATCAGTCACAGGTCACAGAGAGCTAGAGGAAGAAACAAAGATTAAAAGTGTGGAATATAATAACGAAGAACATGATGGAAGTGGAAAACAAGAAATGGGTGAAGATGAAAATGATGAACATGATGAAAGTGGAGAACAAGAAATGGGTAAAGATGAAACTGATAAGCATGATGAAAGTGGAGAACAAGAAATGGGTGAAGATGAAAATGATGAACATGATGAAAATGGAGAACAAGAAATGGGTGAAGATGAAAATGATGAACATGATGAAAGTGGAGAACAAGAAATGGGTGAAGATGAAAATGATGAACATGATGAAAATGGAGAACAAGAAATGGGTGAAGATGAAAATGATGAACATGATGAAAGTGGAGAACAAGAAATGGGTGAAGATGAAAATGATGAACATGATGAAAATGGAGAACAAGAAATGGGTGAAGATGAAAATGATGAACATGATGAAAGTGGAGAACAAGAAATGGGTGAAGATGAAAATGATGAACATGATGAAAGTAGAGAACAAGAAATGGGTAAAGATGAAACTGATAAGCATGATGAAAGTGGAGAACAAGAAATGGGTAAAGATGAAACTGATAAGCATGATGAAAGTGGAGAAACAGAAATGGGTAAAGAAGAAACTGATAAGCATGATGAAAGTGAAGAAGAAATGGGTGAAGATGAAAATGATGAACATGATGAAAATGGAGAACAAGAAATGGGTGAAGATGAAAATGATGAACATAAAAGTGGAGAAAAAGAAATAGGTGAACAAGAAAATGATGAAGAACATGATGAAAGTGGAGAACAAGAAATGGGTGAAGATGAAGATGAAAATGTTGAGAGAGAGAAATGTTTGGTTATAAACATGGACCAACATACAGACAAAGAATCAGATACAGGTCACAGAGACCTAGAGGAAGAAACAGAAATCCAGAGTACACAAGATAACGACAAAAACTTGGAAATATATGCTGACCTTTTCAAAGGAGTGCCAAAGCCGGCTCTGGAGTCACCAGAGGCGTCTGAAGAAACTGTCATGAGCCCAGAAATAGGACTACAAATTGNTATAATATTATATATATATAATATATATATATATATATTATAATATATATAATATATATAAAATTTACTTTAGATGATATCTAATATTACATATTTTTTTAAAGGATGTCAGTCTAATAATCAAGATTATGGGAAAAGGGAAACATTTTTATTAGACAAATTTGACAAAGGAAAGTTCCTGTAAGCATATTTATTACTGAAATTTCTTATTAAGTTACGGAATATTTGGATATTCGTAGACTACCAAAGGTAACAGGTGTGTTATTACCGCTTGTATGTCTTTTTATTTTTCCTTGTTTTCTTCTTTAAATGTAAGTGAAAACTTTATTTACATATTAGTTTAAGTTCCATTTATAAACATTGTTGCCTTTATTTATTTTGATTAGATTTATTATTAGTAGTGTTATTAATATTAATATTTTTTTATTTTTCTTTATTTTATGTTTGATCTGTATTTTTTTGCAAGACGTTTGATAAAGCATCAACAAAAAGTTTACCACAGCACTAGGACATCATTGTAGAACCATTTGTAAGCATTTTTTTTGTTTTGTTTTTCAATGAGAAATTATGATTTTATTAAACAATGGCTGAGAGTTCCTTTCTCATTCCCTGGAGAGGGGTGATGTAAGATCATTTATTTTTAGTGTCTTCAGGTATAAAAAATTTCATGTTGCAGAAAATATCAAAGATTTCATACTATGAAAATACTGGATGTGATACTTCAGATTTTCATATTTATGTTGTGTAGTTCACATTGTTAACATGTACATTTTTTTCTCTCCTAATTGGATTTTTATTATTGTATGGTTCATTTGAATTTTTTTTAGTTTGGTGAAAAAACCTTACTAAGATGTTAGACAGGTCCCTATATATTTTTAGATTATATTGAATATCTTTTCCAATCTATTTTATTTCTTTGTGTTAGCAAGAAATAAACTGAAATAAAACCAAGTGAAGTACTGTATTTTTTCATAATCTTCCAGTTTTGGAATTTTAAAAAAGGTATGGGAAGTGATGCTTGGAACAATCATGGTATCACATATCTCAAGGGATAAACAATGTTCTTAAATAGGATATGAATTGTAAATAAAAATTAAAAATAATATAAAATAATTTTACTGCTGTTCAGTATAACAAAATTAATCTGATTTGCATACTATTACTGCAGTTAATTTGTAGCACTTCCACCTGGACTCACTGGAGAACTTTTCTCTTTATTCTTCAAATCCTTCCGAAGTCCTGTGTCACAAAGCAGGGAGGTACGATGCAATATGTAAATAACAGCTGATAATCCACCAACATTGACAGTTCTTGAGGCACCACTCTTCCACAGGGTGTGAACTCGTTTTATGCTCTGAAAGTAAAATATTGCTGTCAGTTGATTTCATGAGGATATTTCATTGACTGGTTATTTTATATAAAATCTGCCTATGGCAGCAGCTGCTACAGCTCTTTTTTCTCAAATATTAATATAAGGAGCTAATCTGAAACTTTACAAATGTTCTATTTTTCAATGGAAAAAAACTATCTAATCCAGGTTCTCAGTGAAGCTCTTCAGAATACAGTAAATTTTGTAAATTTTGTGAACATTTTTCACCCACTGGATTTGGGTAATATGAATGTCATGTCATGAAAAAAATTGGCTGACAGCCAGGTGACATAAATGTGCTCTTATAAAGAATTTAGCTGGGGTGACGGGAATGATTTGACATGGAGGAAGATTAGACTAAGTGAACATTAAGGAAGAGGCTCTTACATTATTTGCACTAGTAATCATACCATCAGTGAGCTATGGCTAGAAAAGTGCTGGACTTAGGGAGGACACTGTTTTCTCGTTAAGGGATACTATTTCCTAGTTAAGGATGTATTACTGTCCACCATGAACAGTAGCAAAGGGTATGTTACAGACAATTGATTGAAAATATTTAAAACCATTACATAAAATGTTGGTTATTGCTATTAAACAGTTTTAGATGATATGGAGTCTAGAACAGTATTACCATCATGATACAGTATGTCAAATGGCAAATGTAGACTAGAAGATGGCAACTTGATATAGCATATCAAGAGAAATATAACCTAGGAATAAAAGATAAGAAGAAGAAAAGGAAGAAGAAGAAGAAGAAAAAAAAAAAAAAAAAAAAAAAAAAAAAAAAAAAAAAAAAAAAAAAAAAAAAAAACTGCAGAAAAAGATAATAACATTGCAAAGGGTAGGCAAAGAGTCGTGATACTGAACACGTATGTGTGTGTGGGCTAGGACTAGAAGCCCCACCTGGGAGACTTGTCACTCAAGTAAACCTAATGCCTGGTGTTTTGGCCATGTGCACAAACAAGGCACCCAGATCGAACAAATTAGTGTATAAATAAACTTACTTTAATCATACTCCTGTGGTCATATGTGAGCAATACAGCACGTCCTGTTTTTATTCTTGTCACCCTTGCCATTTCCAGCAAGGCATGAAAATATAAAACACGGTTGTCAGTTTTGCTGCCAATACGTTTTCCGAAGGGTAAGTCAGACACCATAATGTCAACACACTGTTCTCTAAGTGGTAATTTAGTAGCATCCCACTGAGCCACATCAATTGGCATGGAATTCCCCTTCTTTACCAGCCAGTCAATGTTATCACGACTCCGCTTAACTGCCTGTCCGAAGTTGTCCCCACCAAGATGGAAAGACTTAGTATACGTCAGGGAACCCTGTAAGTTAAGGAATATCACATATTATTACCCTCTATTTTCAACAAACAAAAAGCTGTAAATAGTTAGAGTAATCCTATTTCGTACCTCTCAGAAGCCATAGCCTATTTCTGTAGCTAAGAAACTAATTGGTAAAAAAAAAAAGTATATAATTATATGTTTATATCCATTTTGTTCACTGTTCAGAGTTCATGGTCTATTCTGTATGTTAATGCTTCAAATTAGGGATGATGAAAGAGAGAGAGAGAAAGAAAGAAAGAAAGAGGAAATAAATTACACACACACACACACATGTATATAAATAATACACATATATAAGTGTATATACAAAATAAATATGTGTTTATATATATACACCTCCCTCCCTCCCTCTCTCTCTTCTCTCTCTCTCTCCTCTCTTCTTCTTCTTCTTCTCTCTCTCTTCTTCTCTCTCTCTCTCTCCTCCTCTTCTTCTTCTTCTTCTTCTTCTTCTTCTTCTTCTTCTTCTCTCTCTCTCTCCTCTCTCTCTCTCTTCTCTCTGTCTCTCTCTCTCATACAAATACAGATATTTACACACACATACATATATATGTGTGTGTGTGTGTGTGTGTGTGTGTGTGTGTGTGTGTGTGTATGTGTGTGTGTGTGTGTGTATTTGTGTTTGCGTGTGCGTGTGTGTGTGTGT